TTTTGGGAATTTTTGGATTTGGGGGTTTGGGGAATTTGGGATTTTGGGGAATTCAGGGTATTGGGAATCCTTGGATTTGGGATTTGGGGTTTGGGTGGATTTGGGGGTTTGGGGAGATTTTTGGGGTTTGGCATCCTTGGATTTGGGATTTGGGATTCTGGGAATCCTTGGATTTGGGGGGTTGGGGAAATTTGGGATTTTGGGAGGATTTGGGCGTGCTGGAGTTCCACACCTGGATGGGCTTGGGATCCCATTTTGACCCAATTTTAACCAATATTTACCCCTTTTAAACCCAATTTTAACCCATTTTAACCCAATTTTAACCCGTTTTAACCCAAATTGAACCCAATTTTAACCCATTTAAACCCAATTTTAACCCCTTCCTGCCCGGCTCCAGGTATGGTACATGGACGGCTACTACAAGGGCCGCCGCGTGCTGGAGTTTCACACCTGGATGGGCTTGGGATCCCATTTTATCCCATTTTACCCAATTTTAACCCCTTTTAACCCAATTTTAACCCAATTTAAAGCCATTTAAACCCAATTTTAACCCCTTTTAACCCGATTTTAACCCCTTCCTGCCCGTCTCCAGGTGTGGTACATGGACGGCTACTACAAGGGCCGCCGCGTGCTGGAGTTCCACACCTGGATGGGCTTGGGATCCCATTTTATCCCAATTTATCCCTTTTTAACCCAATTTTAACCCACTCAAACCCAATTTTATCCCATTCAAACCCAATTTTATCCCATTTAAACCCAATTTTAACCAATTTTAACCCGTTTTAACCCGATTTTAACCCCTTCCTCCCCGTCTCCAGGTATGGTACATGGACGGCTACTACAAGGGCCACCGCGTGCTGGAGTTTCACACCTGGATGGGCTTGGGATCCCATTTTATCCCAATTTATCCCTTTTTAACCCAATTTTAACCCACTCAAACCCAATTTTAACCCCTTTTAACCCAATTTTAACCCCTTTTAACCCGATTTTAACCCCTTCCTGCCCGTCTCCAGGTATGGTACATGGACGGCTACTACAAGGGCCGCCGCGTGCTGGAGTTCCGCAGCCTCACCGACTTCATCAGCGGCCAAAACTTCGTCCAGCACCTCCTCCCTCACCCTTGGGCGGGCACGGGCCACGTGGTTTTCAACGGCTCCTTGTACTACAACAAATTCCAGAGCAACGTGGCCGTGCGTTACCACTTCCGCTCGCGCAGCGTCCTGGTGCAGCGCAGCCTCCCCGGCGCCGGCTACAACAACACCTTCCCTTATTCCTGGGGGGGATTCTCGGATATGGATTTCATGGCGGACGAGAGCGGCCTGTGGGTGGTTTACACCACCAACCAGAACGCCGGCAACATCGTGGTGAGCCGTTTGGACCCGCTGAGCTTGGAGGTGTTGAGGAGTTGGGACACCGGTTACCCCAAACGCAGCGCCGGCGAAGCTTTCATCATCTGCGGCGTCCTCTACGTCACCAACTCGCACCTGGCCGGCGCCAAGATTTATTTCGCTTATCACACCAACACCTCCAGCTACGAGTACACCGACATCCCTTTCCACAACCAGTATTCCCACATTTCCATGCTGGACTACAACCCGCGCCAGAGGGTTCTCTACACCTGGAACAACGGCCACCAGGTCATCTACAACGTCACGCTCTTCCACGTCATCAGCACGGCCGGGGAGCTCTGATGGACTGGACACCGC